ACACATACATACATGTGTGTACATATATGTATTTTTTTATAATATAGTTTTCAAAGTTACTAACAACCAAAGTAAAAAACTAAAATATGTCATTAAGTAACTAAGAACCAGACAGTGAAGAACAAACAGTCTGGTGCTGATGAGGACAGGCGGGAATTAGCACCCTCATTCACAAATAACAGATACAAAAATAGGCAAAATATTTTATGTATTATATTGTGTTATTACATTATAACATATATGTATATTACAATATAGAAATACGTAGTATAAAACTTATGTTGTCTATTACATGGTATTTACATACTGTGTTCAGTGTTTTTATTAGTATCTGTGAACTGTGTTTACACTTGAATTGCTGGGAAGAAATGTAACAACAGAATGTTGCCAGTGGCTCTGAGTGATGAAGTTGGATCGAGCACGCCTATTCTCTTGTTATTTTTATGTATGTTTCTGAATCATTTTTAAGTTAACTCCTTTTTTTGCCTTTTATTTGCTTTTCCAAGATAGTCTCCCTATGTAGCCCAGGCTGGCCTTGATATCACAGGGACCCTCCTGCCTCTGTCTCCGTGCGCCACCACACACAGCTAAGAAAAGTTCTTGTGAAACCCTCTAAGGGAAAAACCACACATTCAAACTTCTACAGCACATCTCTGCCTCTTCAGCTGGTGGCTCACAGGTCCTCAGGGAAGCCTGACTCCAAGGGGAGGCGCAGACCTGCTCCCTGCCCTACCGATCCCACCCTGCTCCAGCAGGAAGAACCTGCATTCTTCAGTCACTTAGTCCAGGCCACTGCCGGGCTCAGGAAGCTACTCAGTCTCCCATGCCTCTCCCACAGCTGAGCCTGGCCCCAGAGCTGCTAGAGACATCTATGAATCACCAAAAACACACTCCCTGGAATGTACAGCCAGTGACACCCAAACGTAATTAAAGAGAGTAACTACTAAATAAACCCAGTTGGTCACATGGCAACCACCTGGTGGAACAAGGCTTTCCCCGGCAGTTTCCTGACTGACAGCAGCCTGTGTCAGGGGGTCTGCACTATTTAAAGGCTGGTGATGCTTTTTGAAGACTGGGACAACTGGGAAACATAGGATTTGTTGCCCCAGGTGGGAAAAAGCAGTGCTTCCACTCCGGCCCACTTTCCCCGCAGCCACCTTCAGCTCCCTCTCCAGAAGAGCATGCTGTTGCCACTTCCCAGACCTTCTCTATCCCATGCGTCCTCTGAATTTACTTTTTAGGTTGAATCATCAGAGGTTTATGACTTGAAACACAGAGGAGAGCGGCCTCCCAGGGAGACCTGCTGCCCGCCTCCCAGTTCAGCCTCTCACGCTCTGAGCCAGAGCCCCGGAAGTGCCCGGCAGTGCTGGGGCTGGACAGAGACATCACAGGGCTCCCTCCACACCGCAGGGCGTCGCGGACAAGGCTGTCACGCGTGTGGAGGGGAAGGGCGAACGCCTTCCGTTTCTGTCCAGTCAGTCACCTGCAAAGGCAAACAAACCGGGGCCCAGAAACTGCAGAAAGAGCGAGTAGGGAGCGGCGGAGAAGGGGGCAAGAGACACTTACGGAGGTGGGGAAGCAGTGCCATCTCCAGCCCCTTGGCGAAGTGGGCCGTGGCGTCGTAGAACTCCAGCAGCCTGGTGAGCTCCAGCTCGGGTCCTGCCCGTTCCACTCCAGCGCTGAGGCACATGGGCAGGGAGGGCACCAGGGCCCCCAGGGTCTGAATCAGCAGCACAGTCACCACTTCGTGGGGGTTCCTGAAAACCTGCAGTGGCACAGAAGCGACTGCATTAGGGCCTGGAACCAAACCAGGAGGCGGTTTTGCAGAGGCTGTCGCCTGGGTCCCGCAAAGGAGCCATTACCCTCCCACCTGAAGGCAAAGCGGACCAGTTTCCCTCATCACAAACTGAGGCCTCAGTTGTAAAACTGGCAGGCCGCAACTTGTCCAGAACAATTGGCCTCAAGTCCCTAGCTGTTTTCTTTTTCCCTCTTCGTTCTTATTAATAGCTGTTTGCAGTACCGTCATTATTTCGCTCATCGCATGATACAACACATCTTAATACCCTTCACATCCCACCCCATTTCCCGATCGTGGCTGTTTACAGCTTCCCATTCTGTGTACTTCGGGTCTCTCCAGGGAAAGCTGCCTATTGTACAGTCCATTCCAAGGAAGTGCAGAGTAAGCGCCCTTTTGTTCTAACCTGAATGAAATGAAACATGAGGCCTATTCTTGGGCAAACCTAAGGCCAACAAGGTATAAAATTAAAATGATAGAGCCGTTTAAATTCAAGGTTTTAATAGACAATATCTAGAGATAAGTGATAATGAAAACCACATAACAAATTTTACAGGGCACAAAAGAAACTATGCTAAGAAGGAAATTTATAGCTTTACATACTACATTAATAAAAAAGGAGAAAGATCTCAAATCGATGACCTAACTGTGCACATTAACTAGAAAAAGAAGCTCAAGCTAAACCAAAGTGAGCTGAAGAAAATGCAAGTGGTGATAGGTAAAATAGAGAACAGAATGTTAAGGACTCCAGAAATTGGCTTTTTGGAAAGATCAATAAAATTGACATTACCTAAACTGACTCAGAAGAGAAATGACTCATTATTAAAACCAGACATGAGCCTGCTGTCGTGGCACATGCCTGTAGCTCCCAGTACTCCGGAGGCTGAGGCAGGAAGATCGTCACAAGTCTGAGGTCAGCCTGTGCAACACAGTTAGTTCAAGGCCAGGGTGACTAGACAGCCAGACCCATTCTCAGACAACAAAAATATAAAATAAAATTGGCTATGAAAGTGGGGACATTACCATCAATTTTAAAGAAACAAAAAGATTATAATGGAATACTATGAGCAACTGTACACCAACAAAGTGGATAAAATGGACAAATTCCTAGAAATTGCAATCTACCAAAACTGGCTCAAGAAGAAACAGCAACTACAACTACAACTAGTAAAGAGATCAAAACTGTAATCAAAAACTTCCCAAGCCAAGTGTGGTGCCACACACCTGCAATCCCAGCACTTGGGAGGCTGAGGCAGGAGGATGGAGAGTTCAAGACCAGCCTGGACTACATAGACCTCATCTTGAAAAATCAAACAAACAAACAAAAAGCTACAAAAAATGACTTCCCAACAGAGAAAAGATCAGTCTGAGCGGCCTCACTGGTGAATTCTGCAAAACATTTTAAAGAAATATTAACATCACCCTTCTAAATAAAACACTTCAAAAAAGTTGAAGACAGCATGCTGTGGTCCGAACTCAGTTCCCAGGCTGGGCTAGAACTTGTGATCCCCCAGCTCTGCCTCTCACAGTGCTAGGGTTACAGGTGTGCACCACACCCAGCAGCCTAAGAGCAGGCACAAGAAGGAGGCCAGCTTCTGCCACTCTACCTGACGTCTACTGGAGGTTCTAGCCAGAGCAGCTGTGCCACAAAAAGCAACGGAGACAGGAACAGGACTGTCTCTACAGATAACACTCACACATGTATAAAATCTATGCATAGATCCTCATGGAGAATCTAATAAAACTTCGAAGAACATTTGTTTTGTTGGATACATCCTATGTTACACTCTGCTTAGAGCCCCCTGCTGGAGTAGGGGGAAAATAAACAGAAGAAGGAACGAAGCAAATCCAAATATAACGAAATGGCTAAACTGCTAATGGCTCTCCAATGTGTCTTTCCTGAGTAAGTCATCCAATCACCTACCGGATTTTGCTGTTAAGACTCCATAGGACTCTAAGGAATTTAAAAGCACCCAATATTAGAATTTATCATTCTCCTGGATCTGTTTCCTCAACTCCCCAGTTCTGACAGTAATGTGTTCACACAACCAAGAGGGAGACCTCCCTTTAACCTTCCTTCCTTTCAAGCCCTTTACAGTTCCTAATGACTGTTCCAGCAATTGTTCTAGGTGTAGAACAGCTCCTACAGTTGTTTACCTTTCTCAAACTTGACATTACCATCTCCACCCAGTACCGGGCAAAGGCTCCTACCTTTCTCCCATCTCTCCTGTCAATTCACCACCACATTCATTATGTTTAAATGTTACTTCCAGACTTTAGTTACATTTTAAGTTTTTAATATTGCAAGGTTCTCCAGTCATTAACATTTTGGTGTTGCCATTGCTATCGGTCTTAGGCATTCCGGTGGAGTAGACCTCACTGTGCTTTTAACTTGCATTTCCCCGATGGCCAAGGCCAGTGCGCTCCTAGTCACGCGCTCGCTGGCCATTCATACATCTTCCTCTGTGAAGAGTCTGCTCAGGTCTACTCCAGCCAGTTCCAAGGCCGGGGGTTTCACCTTTTTATTAGTTAGTTGTAGGGGTTCTTTACATACTTTGAATTCCTTTGTCGGCTCTGTTTTTAGAGATTTTCATCCAGTCTGTGGATTGACCAGAGGTTGACTGTGATGACGCCTAATTTATCAGGTTTTGGTTTGGTTTCTGTAGTGCCGGGGATCCGATCCAGGGCCTCAGGCCTGCTAAGCAAGCATTCTACTCCTGAACTACACTCCAGCCCAGTTCTCCCCTGTTTTTTCATTTTAGTTTATGAGTACATTTGTGTGGCACTGAATGTTTTCATTCCTCGTGTGGAGTCGGCACATGAGCACAACACCTATGACTCCTCTTCTCATCCCCTTTCTTCCATCCTCCCTCCCTCCGCCCATCCCTTCTTTCCTTTTTTTTTGACAGAAGGGAGAGGGAGGAAAGTGAAAGGGGTGAAAAAAAGAAAGTGGGATGACCTGGGAGTGGTGGCATGTGCCTGTAATTCCAGCCCTCAGGAGGCTGAGGCAGGAGAATCACTGTGAGTTTGAGGCCAGCTTGGCTAAATAGTGAGACCCTGTCTCAAAAGAAAAAGAAATTGGGATGAATTTTTCCTTTTATAGTTGTTGTTTTCTATGCCTAAGCAACATCACAAAACCCCACATCCTGTGGTCTGTGAACATTGCTTTCTTTGGTAAATGTCCAGAGGACCCCTTTAAGGAGATGGGAGCCCTATAATAGAAGACATTTAATTGAAGGATCATCTAATAATTCCATAGGAGATCTAGAATATGACTTTATGTACAGACCAAAGAATTAGAACTGTCTGGTACAGGGCTATTTAGTCTAACTTCTGCTACTCACCAGGCACTGAAGTGAAAGACAAAAGCAAAAAACACTACAGTATCAGACTCATCAGTTACGGCTATCAAGTCACCTAGATAACCTCCAGAAAGACAATCTGATGCTGTCTTCACTACACATGAAATTCACTCAGGCTGGGGATGTAGCTCAGTGGCGTTGCATCTGTTTGGCAAGTGCCAAGGTCCTGAGTTCGATTCTCAGTACTGGAGGGGAGAAAAAAAAATTAACTCAGGATGGAACACATATCTAAACATAAAAGCAAAACAATTTTCTAGAAGAAACAGGGAAGAATACCTTTGCCACTAGGGACTATTGATGGTTTCTTAGGACATGCGGAATAATAAACACAAAAGAAAAAACTGACTAGGTTTCATCAAAATCAAAACTTCTGCTCAGGACGGAGAGTGCAGTTCAGAGGCACAGTGCTTGCTTTCCTAGTGTGTACAAGGCCCTGGGCTCCAGTCCCAACTCTACAGAAAAAAAGGAACAAAACAACCTCTGCCTAAGCCACAGACTAGAAGAAAATGTCAGTGAAATGTATCTGACAAAGGCTCTGTATGTGGTATATATAAAGATTTCCTCTCCTGGAATTAAGTAATAGACAAATAATCCAATTTTTCAAATGGGCAAAGACTTGAGCAGACGTTTCACAAAGGAAGACACAGAAATAGGAGCTTGATGCCCTTAGTCATCAAGGAAATGCAAGTTAAAACCACATGAGGTACACCACACACCCACCAGTGTGATAAAGTTATTAAGAATGACTACACCTAATGTCAGCAAGGATGTGGACACTCGGAACTCATACCTCACTGTGGGAGAGCAAAGAGGACAACCACTTTGGAAAAAGGCAGTTTCTTCTCCATCTAACACACTAGGTATTTACCCAAGAGATATAAACACTGTACCTACAAAAGAATTTTTATAGAGCAATGTTCAGAGCAGCTGTATTCATAACAACTACAAGTGTCCATCAGTGAGAGGATGTGTAAACAAGCCGATTCCTACCATGTAATAGTATTTAGCAACAAAAATTCTACAACACAAGTAAATCTCAAAAGCACACTAAATCAAAGAAGCCTTACCAAAAGTGAATAATTTCATCTAAATGAAATTCTACAGCACTCCAAAATGATTTATGCAGAAAACAAAACAGAGCAGTGGTTGCCTGGGAAGGTGCATAAGAGAACTATTTGGGGTGATGGTAACGTTTTCCTTCTAGAAAGTTAAGTCACACAGATATTTACATTTTGAAACTAACCAAATGGCACATTTAAGATCATCACATTTCACAAATTTTCTCTCAAAGACGGGGTTGAATTCCATTAATAACATGTACTACCATGGATGGTGTTCACAATTTATTTTGAAATAAATCAAAAAATAAGGGTCGCGGTCAGGAATTGAGCTCAGTGGCGCATGCACCTGCCTCGCAAGCACAAGGTCCTGAGTTTGATCCCTGGTACCAAAAAAATATATACAAGAAGGTTTAATGAGCATACAGAAATAGGTGGAAGGGAAGATTTATAATAATGCAAATACAGAAGAATGTTCATTGTAGAACCTAGGAGCTGTGCATATGGATATTCATGACAGTTCTTTCAATCTTTTTATATGTTGGAATTTTTCACCCTAAAGTACTGGGAGTGGGGCGTGATGACACGTCTGTGATCCCAGCACTCGGGAGGCTGAGGCAGGAGGGCCAGTGTACAGCTCAGTGACACAGCCCCTGCTTCACAGGGATGAGGCCCTGGGCTTGAGCCCCAGGGCAATGAAAAAGGAATGATTTAAAATACTGGAATCTGTAAAGGAAACACCTTTACCCTGGTGCCTTTAGCCTTGTTTTGCATTATTTTAAACTTCAGAAGGTGACCACGGACTATCTGCTTACATCCTGTACAGAGAATGGGCTGTCACCTCCTCAGTGTCACGCTCTCTGCCCAGCTCTGACAGGGACCTATGGCAGTTATTTTCCTCCATTGCAGAAAAAGAAGCAAGACATGGCCTTCTCTGTTAAATGGGCCAGAAGCCAAAGGCAAAATGAGCATAAACAGAAGGCTAACAAACTGAGGATGAGGACTGAGGAGAAGCCAAGAGGTCTACGTTCTTTTCTTAGATGACATGGTCCTTGTAAACATGGGCAGAGCTCTTGCGATCCTCGCGATACCAGCAGAAGCAAAGATGGGCAGATGAGCGTGGATGGTCAGCTCACTGAAAACTGACAGTTACAAAAAAACTGTGAAACTTCCATAAGGAGTTTTTTTCTCCTTTAAAAAGAAAATAGCCGGGTGTAGTGGCACACGCCTGTAATCCCAGCACTCAGGAGGCTGAGGCAGGAGGATCGCTGTGAGTTTGAGACCAGCCTGGACTACATAGTGAGTTCCAGGTCAGTCTCAACTACACAGTAAGAGCCTGTCTCAAAACAAAACAAAACAAAACAAAACCACCTAAACCAAGCCTGGTGGCACAGCCCTGTGATCCCAGCACTCTGCCTGCTGAGGTAGGAGGATGCAAATTTGAACCCAGCCCAAGCAACTTAGTGACTTAGTGAGACCTTGTTTCAAAGTAAAAAATTAAATAAAGGACTAGGATGTAGCTCAGTGAGAAGGCCTTAAGTTTAGTCCCCAGGAATTAGATAGACAGAAACAAAAAACAACTAAGTCTAAATTAGGTTTGTCCAAAAAGAAGAAAAGAAAGGATGGAGAAAGGGCTTTATCCGAGCTGAACGACAGGACCCTGCACAAGGGTTCTCTCTCAGTCCAGGTCATTCCACCCAATGACCGATGAGCGGCTCCAGAGTGATTCAGGAGCAAGTGTGAAAAAAAACGCTAAGCAGCCACGCCACCCGCTGCAGGGCCACCCACTGCAGGGCGTAGGGCATCACCCCAGGCACAGACTTCCCCAGCTGGGGCCAACCTGCTGTGCCTCTGGCCCGAGACAAAGGAACACAGCACGTGTGCTAGGCAGGGGAGGCCCCAACATTCTGGAAAAGAGAGGGACGGGAGTCTCTACTTGAGACCTCCATCTCACCTCACCTCCCGTTGGAGGCTGTCCTTAAAACTACTCTTTCGTTAACTGGGTGTGTGGAGAAAACAGGAGTGAACCTCACCTTTAGTTAAGATAAAAACAGTGACTCAGCTTTCACACTGAAGATAGTGTCTTTGAGGAACCCCGAAGGCAGATTCCACTTCAGATGTAGATGAGGCATAAGCGCATTTGTTCTCATTCACGGATGGGTTTCTAAGCCCATGGCCTAACCCTGGTCACAGCAGCAAACTGAGAGACCAGCGGCAGCCCCGGCCCCCACTGCCCGCCACCACAGCGTCACCCTCCCCACACCTCAGCGAGCTGCTGTTACCTGCGCGGTCCACTGGGTCTGTGCGTGCCAGGCGCCCAGCAAGGCGTCATAGAGGCCGGTGAGCTGCTGGGCCAGGGGCAGGTCGGTCTGGCACAGCTCCTGCCAGGCTGCTAACAGCTGTACCTGCAGGAGCACAACAAAGAGGCTCGCAGGGCACAGCGGGAATGCTGCTGCTGCAGCTCCCTGCTCGCCACCAAGGCAAGCGAGTCGCGTAACTGCCACCATTCTGAGCACCTAGCACCCAAGAGGTCCACTCCCCTGTCGCAGGAACCAAGCGGAACAAGCCCAGCTGCTCGAGTGTCATCCACAGCTTGACTCTCACTCTCTGAGTGGCCTGTCCCCTCTTCCTTTCCTGCAGGATGCCACCGTGCCCCACGTGTGCACGCCATGTACGCAGGCATGAGTGTTGAAACTTCGGGCCCTAACCTTACCACTTAACATGCACAAGCGTGCCAGCCTGGAGGGAACTAAGCCCAGGAAGCTGCAAGGATTTTTGGCAACCAAACTTCAACAAACAACACCAGAAAATGTATTAATTATCATGGCTTGCTGAAGACACAATGAAGCTTAAGACATGAATCTTCCTTAAGACAAAAATGGGCTGACCATAATGACACACACTTAGCTCAGCACTCTGGGAGGCTGAAGCAGGAGGATCTCACGTTTGAGCCTGGTCTGAGTGACGCAGGGAGACCCCGTGTCAAAATTAAAAATTTTAAAACGGCTGGGGATGTGGCTGAGTGCAAAGGCCCTGAGTTCATTTCCCAATACCACAAAAAAAAAAAACAAACAAAAAATGTGAATAAATTATAACGACTTTTCAAATTTGTAAATAATACAGGACAAAAAGTAATAAATACAGGACAAAAACCTCTGCCTTTTTCCAACTGGCAATTAAATGCATCCATATGCTGGACCAAGATTACCCCCTACTGGCTAACCAGAAGAAAAACAACCAGCTGTCAAAGAGGCAACATTTTTGCCTTTGAGTAAAAAATGGGATTTTTGTAGCTCCCGTTACCAGCATCCTATAACTATAATGGCTCACAGCTTCTTACCTTGTGACATTTGTAGTAGTATGCAAGGAGCTGGGGCATCCGGTCGATTTCAGTAAAAACTTTCACAAACATTTTGGACTGATCTAAAGAAAACAAAATAGATTTATACATTTCCAGGTTTTCAGATGCAGCCAAGAAAATTAATTCACTAGGATAAATGTGAGTCATACAGATACATAGAGAGATATACCGATATCCTCCCAGATAATTAATTAACTCATGGGGATCACAGACACAAGAGGCAGGTAAAGTCGACAGCAAACCATGTGACTTAATCAATCGATCAAGCAGGCCTGGCTTGTTAGGACGACACCTAAGTAAACGCCACTCGCGGAGCTGAGACTGCACCACAGCACAGGGACAAGCACACAAGAGGGAAGCAGGCTGAAGTCAGGGCCAGAGCTGGCGGGGGCAAACCTGAGTGTAAAGAACGGAGGCTCTCGGGGTTGAGCAAGGCCACGCTCACCTGCCCCCAAGTCCTAGCCTTTGTCAGGATTATAACTATGGGTGACTGGTGTCTAAAGGAACTCACTTTAGAGCAGCAGGGCTGAGAAACCACAGAGAAGCCTGAACTGCTGACTACCATTCCAGCCTGGGAAAACAGGCTGCTACCTACCTCAACCTACCTCAACCTAATACTTGCACGAACTGGAAAGTACAGCGACAAGCAGGCCTCCTGCAGGCCCCAGGAAGGCACCCAGCTCTTCACTGCCTCCAGGCCTTGGGTCCCTGACCCGCTCCTCTGCCAGTCTCTGTAACACTCTCCATAGTAGAACTAAGCACAACCCAGACTGACTGTGCTTAGTTACTTACAGAATAGTTTATCGTCTTTCTCATCCACGGAAACACAAGCTCCGGGAGAAGGGGCAGTGACATTTCCTGTCTTGTTTCACTGTTCCCAAAACTTACCATAAAACACAGTAGGCACTCAGAAACTGTATCCAATTAATTACTGATTAAATGCCATTGTTTTTCATCATCACCAGTAACATGTTCATGATGGGAAAAACAGAAAACTGGATAAGAAAAAAAAAACAAAAACGGCCTGTACTATACTACCACACTTTGTTAAAATGCTGTTCAGATTTACTTATATGTTCAAAGAATTTTTTTTTTTTTTTCCTGTACTGGGGATCAAACTTGGGACCTTGTGCTTGTGAGGCAGGTGGTGAGCTACATCCAGTGAGCTACATCCCTAGCCCTCAAAGAAAGTTAAGTGCTATAATGTATACTGGTCTAAATATATAATCACAATTTTTAAAATGTCTATTCCACAAATATATATACTACTTTTTTTTGGTACCGGGTATCAAACTCAGGACCTTGCACTTGCAAGGCAGGCAGCGGAACCACTGAGCTAAATCCCCAGTCCTAAATGTATTACTTTAAATGAATAATAAAACAGAATTTGCCAATAAGGCAAACAGAGAGCTTGCAGAAGCTATAGCAAGAGAGCATTTCAAGAACTAGAGAGAAAAATCAATAAAGAAACAGAGGAACTGAACCAAAGCATAGATCAATTAGATCTGATGGACGTATACAGGACTGTCTACCCCACAAGAGCAGAATTTATGTATCTTCCAAGTGCACATTGAACATTCTCCAGATAGATCATATGTTAGACCATAAAACAAGTCTTAATAAATTTTAAGGCTGAAACCAGAGAAGTCATAGAGTATCTTTTCCAATCACACTAGAAATCACAGGAAGAGAACTGCAAAATTCATGCGTGAAAATTAGACAACACACTCTTTTAAAAAAAAAATTGCAGGAAAATTAGAAAAAACTTAGAGACAAATGGAAAGGAAAACACGATATATTAAAATTTATGTGGGAGCCAGGTGTGGTGGCGCACACCTGTAATCCCAGCACTCAGGAGGCTGAGGCAGGAGGACTGCTGTGAGTTCAAGGCCAGCCTGGGCTACACAGTGAGTTCCAGGTCAGTCTCAACTACATAGTGAGACCCCGTCTCAAAAAACAAAAACGAAAACAAAATTACAGGATACAGCAAAAGCTGTGCTAAAGTCCCACTCTAACTACTCTTCACTGCTGTAAATACACTAAAAAATGCCACAATGAAACGGACAGATTCCTGAAAGCCCAGGAACCACTGAGAAGGAATCTTTGTATTTTGCTTCTTTTCTTCCTTCCCTTCCTTTCTTGTGTGTGTGGCACGTAACCAGGGGCTGAACCCAGGGATCTGTGCTAAGCTACACACCGAGGACTTTGTACATTCTGAGACACAGCCTCATTAAGTCACTCAGTTGCCCAGGCAGAGCTCAAACTTGCAACCCTCCTGCGTCAGCCACCCAGAGTGCTGGGATTCTAGGTCATGCTGTGAAACCTGGCTAGCCTGAATCTTAAAGAAACAGGAACTAGGACTGAGGATGGTCGGTGCACTCTCTTAATCCCAGTTACCTTGGAGGCTGAGGCAGGAAGAGTACAAGGTCTGAATTCACCTCAGGTGAGGGATGCGGCTCAGGCATTGGGCCCTTGCCCAGCATGCAGAAGGCCCCAGGGCCAATCATCAGCAGTAAAACAAATGGAGCCGAGAAAATGAAACAGAAGCTCTGAACAGGCCTACATCTAGTAGCAACATTGAATCCATGATCAAAACCCTCTCACTGATGAAAAGCCCAAGACCAGACAGCTGCACCAGAGAATTCTCCTAGACGTTAAAGAACTGACACAAAACCTTTCAAAGAAGCTGAGCAGATGGGAACTCCTCTTCATTCATTCTGAGGCCAGCGTCACACTAATGCCAGAGGCAGGCAAAGGCCTACACAATAGCTATAAACCAGTACCCATGATGAATATTCAAGCAAAAATCCTCAACAGGCTGGCTGTGGTGGCGCCCACCTGTGATCCCAGCACTTGAGAGGCTGAGGCAGGAGGATCTTGAGTTCAACGCCAGCCTGGGCTACATTGTGAGATCCTGTCTCAATAAAACAAAACAAAACAACTTAAAATTCTAGCAAACAAAATTTAATAGCACATTAGAAGTATTATACACTATGACCAAGCGATATTTATCCCCGAGTATAAGGATGGATGAATCAACATACAAGAATCAATCAAATACACTACATTAACAAAATGAAGAGAGAAAATCAACTCAGTTGATGCAGAAAAAGCATGTGACAAACTTCAATACTCTTTCATGATAAAAATATTCAGGAACAGAGTACATGAGGCCCTGAGTTCAATCCTCAGTACTGAAGAAAAAAATTTAAATACTTGTGTAAAGAACATTTTTTAAAAATAAAAAATAAATTTTAAAAAGAATGTAATTAACAGAAAGAAAAGACAATCCCAGAGAGTGAGAGAAAATATTGGAAAATCATATGTCCAATAAGAAATTATTATTCAGAAAACATGAAAAACTCCTACTAGCTCAACAAAACACAAAATAAACTAATATAAAAGAAGCAGAGGGGACCAGGGATTTAGCTGAGTGGCAGCGTGCCTGCCTCACAAGCACAAGGTCCTGAGTTCGATTGCCAGTACCAAAAAATAAAAAATTAACTAAATAAAATGGGCAGAGGAACAGAACAGACATTTCTCCAGAGATCAAAACCCAAATGAAAATGTGCTAAAAGTCACTGGTCATTAGGGAAAAGTAAATCAAAACCACAAGGAGATACCCACTTTATACCTATTAGGATGGCTATTATTTTAAATTCTCATTTTTATTAAAAAAAAAAATAACGTGTTGGTAAAGATGCAGAAAAGCTAACTCTTGTGCACTGCTGGTGGGGATGTAAAACAGAGTGACTACTGAGGAAAATACTACAACAGCTTCTTATAAATTCACCATGTAATCTAGCAATTCTACTTTTGGTATAAGCTCAAAAGAACTGAAGAGGCTATACATGTGATTACAGCATTAGACACAGTAGCCAAAAGTGGAAGAAACCAGGTGTCCCAGACAAAGGAATGGAAAAAGAAAATGTGCCTATGCACACAATGGAATATTACTTGGCCCTGAAAAGGAAGGGATTGTTTGTTTGTTTGTTTGTGTTTGCTTTTTTGTTTGTTTAATTGAGACAGAGTCTCACTGTGTAGTTGAGACTGACCTGGAATTCACCATGTAGTCCAGGCTGGTCTCGAACTCACAGTGATCCTCCTGCCTCGGCCTCCCAAGTGCTGAGATTACAGCCATAGTGCAACACTACGCCCAGCAAGAAGGGAATTCTGACAGGTGCTGCAACATGAGGGACCTTGAAGTCATCGTATTAAGTGAAATAAACCAGGCAGAAAAGGATAAACACCACGTGAGTCCACTTATATGAGGTTCCTAGAGTTTTCAAATTCGTAGTGACAGAAAGAAGAATGGTGCTTACCGGGTGACGAGAAGAATGGGTTACTTACTGTTGCACGGGCTTTCAGCTTGGGAAGAAGAATGTTCTGAAGACGGATGGCAGTGATGAGTGCACAAGAATGTGAATGGACTTAATGCCACCAAACTGAGCACTTAAAAGCAGTTCAAATGAAGTTGGGCAGCGTGTATGCCTTAATCCCAGCATTTTGGAAGGCTGAGTCAGGAAGATCACAAATTCAAGCCCAGTCTGGGCATCTTAGCAACTAAGTGAGACCCTATCTCAAAACAAAAGATTTTAAAAAGGGGCCAGACATAGACCTCTGATGGGCCAAATTTCCATCTGCCTTTGTAAATGGAATTTTGCTGAGCTTCAGAGAATTCCAACCCTTTATATACAGGCTTTTTTTTTTTTTTTTCTTTTCTTTACCACAGACCAGAGTAAAGTCTGCAATATAGACTGTGGGGCCTGCAAAATCTAAAATACTATCTAGCCCTTTAAGAAAATACCTGCCATTCCCTGTTCTTAGATACAGGCTCACCACAAAGGAAAACAACCAGGCCAATCTTATTATACTCATCAGGGGAACAGAGATGGCACGAGACATGAAACAAGGTTCACAGAGTCTTGAAGGAAAAAGAATATGACCTAAGAATTCCGAAAGCAGTTATTATCTTCTACATGTAAACTCGTAGGATCCTGGCAGGGGCCAGCGGCCTATTTATCTATCTATCTTTTTCTTTCTTTTTTTTTTTTTTTTTTGTTCCAGGGATCAAACTTGGGTCCTTGCACTTGTGAGGCAGGCAGCAGAACCACTGAACTAAATCCCCAGCTTCTACATGAAAACTCAATCGAAAGAGTATCTTGCACAGGCACAGGTCTGCAATGTAAACTACCTGGGAGGCTGAGGTGGGAAGTTTGCGGGTCAAGCCCAGCCTGGGCAACTTCACAAGATAAAGTAATGTACAAGATTAAGCAGATGAAGCTTAGTGGCTCAGCGGTAGAGTATTTGCCCAGCACAAACAAGGTACTGAGTTCAATCACCAGCCCCAGGGACACATACACACACACAAAGCAAATGTAGCAAAATGATAACCTGGAGGGGAAGTTTACAGTCCTTGGTTCGACTTTTCTATATGTTTGAAAATTTCATATAAAATAAAATGCTAAAAGGATGAAAACACCACAAAGTTACGAATTTATTTGCAATCTTCATAATTTAATCAGTGTTGAGGCATTCTAAAGACTGAAGACTTAGAAAGGTTCGTTGTATGTATGTATGTATGTATTTATTATTGTTGTTATTCTTGTTCTTTGAGACAGAGTCCCACTGTGTAGTCCATGTCTTGAACTCACTATATAGCACGGGCTAGCCTGGAACTCGTGATCTTCCTGCCTCAGCCTCCCAAGTGCTGGGATTACAGGCACATGCCACCACACCTGGCCTTCAGAAATGTTATCTTTATACCTGTTTTGGTTTGTTTGTTTCTTTTGCTGTTTTGAGACAAGGTCTCATGGTGTAGTCCAACCTGGCCTCTAACTCAAAATTCTCCTGCTTCAGCCTACTGAGTTCTGAGAACACACACATGCAGCTGCTTATCTTTATAAACAAGTGCGTACAGAGATGCGAACGGCCACACTTACCCACAGACTGAGAGGTGAATGCTGCTACAATCTGCGGGCTGGCTAGGGCCTCCAGCCTGTTCTTCAAAGCCTCTAAGTGCACACATTTTTCTGAGTAGTCTGGCGTATCAACAAGCATCGTTAAGCTGTTCTGCATACCGGTTAGCTTGGCGGAAATCACAGCTATGTCCTAAGAAAGAACAAAGGGTATTTACCTAAGAGATGCTGCCACCCGAATTGGGAATGGATAAAACACATAAAAAGGAAACTCACAAAATAAAAAGTGGCCCATTAAACATTATGTTCAACATTACTAACACTTGAATCGATGCAAAGTAAAACAAAGAGGTGCCGTTTTCTTCTAACGAATTGGGAAAGCATTTGAAATATTGTAATAGTTATAATTAGTGAGAGTGCAAAGAAAAAAGGTTGGCCTGATATGATATAATGCCATACTGAAAGGTGATTTGGCAGTGGGTCATGAGTCTTACAAATATGCACGCCCTTTAACTCGGCTATTTTCTTTTCTAGAACTTGGTCTCACAGAAATAATCGGAAGGAGCTGGCGTGGTGGCGCCCACCTGTGATCCCAGCTTTCTGGGAGGCGGAGGCAAGAGGATCTCAAGTTCAAGCTCAGCTTTAGCAACTTAGTGACTCAGTGGGACCCTGTCTCAGAAAATAAATTAGGGATGGAGCTCAGAGTGAACACGTTAGGTTTAATTCCCAACAAGAAAAAAAAAAGAAGAAAAGAAATAATCAGAAGGACATAGAGACATTGATGTACTGATGTGATTTTAGTGATAACATAACAAAAACCTGGAAGATTAAGCAACTTAATCTTCCATAATAACAAATAAAATATAAAATTATGGGATACTCATACTGATATGCCGAATACTGCACAGGCACTAAAAATTACATTTTTGAAAAGTACTAATAACAAAACAAAGTTACTATTAAAGAAACACTATAAAAAGTACATGGATACTAGAGTTCTAATTTTGTCTCACACGTATCAATATATAACATACAATACATATAAAGTGTACATTAATACAAATGCATACTAATGATATTTGCATACATATAAACTACAAATATAAGTACAAATATGTGCAAACACAAAAAGCACCTAATAGGTCTAAAAATATTTCAAGGGCCTAGGACATGGATGATTTTGTATATTTCCTAATTTTCTTTTCCTTTATTTTCTTTTTGGTCTGGACCTTGCACTTGCAAGGCAGGCACAGTGCCGCTGAGCTAAATCCCCAGCCCTTCTTTTTTTTTTTTTTTTTTTTTTTTGAGACACAATCTTACTATGTGCTTCAGGCTGGCTTTGAACTCACTATGGAGCCCAGCCTGTCTTTGAACTCATGGCAATCCTCCTGGCTCAGCCTCCTGAGGTGGGATTACAGGTGTACACCATCATGCCCAGCTAAATTTTCTAAATGTGGGTTGGGGATTTAGCTCACTGGTTCTGCCACCTGTCTTGCAAGCACAAGGTCCCAAGTTCAATTCCTGGTGCAAAAAAAAAAAAAAAAGGCCCAACACAGCAGATGGGAGAAAAACAAGATCTATAACTTTCAGCCAATTAATATGAGTAGTTCAGTATTATCAAAACCAACACCATATTTAAATCCATTTTCTCCCAGATTTACAGAGCAGACCCTTAAGCCTAGATCAGTAAAAGTCTGAATTAGAAGGGAGGGAGCTCAGCTCCACTGTACTGAGAAGATACCAGTAATTGGTGTGGAGTAATACACTGCTGGGTGAGTCCCATGGTGCCCAATGTGTTGTTATTGGTGGGCAGGGATATCCAGAAGGACTGGTGTGGAAGAGATTAGGGGACTGGAGGGCCAGGTTTATAATGTGCTAAGTTCTGCAGCTGAAAGGTTTCTCAAAAGCTATGCTCTCACTCGCCCCTTTGTTGCAGGAATCCAAGAGACTGGAGAGACCCACGGACCGGAAAGGAGGACTTTACAACAGACTCCTGTCCACAGGAAGAGTGGTGAACACACAGGGGGCCTCCTTCATGCAACAAGGTGAGTGAATTTCCTGAACAGGATGAGGGCAGGCACTTTTGTGACTCTGCTTTGAAAGAAGACAGTGTCTTACGAACTACATGAGGACAGAGTGCCATGAACTTTGTTCACAGGACAGAGTTGTCCATTTTATCTATACCAGAACGAGGAGCTACTGCTGCAGGGGAAGGGTTAGCAGGCAGGGCTGCGCAGGCTGGGAAAGACTTGCTTTTCTTTAAGTAAGTCCTGCTTCGCCTTCACAACAGGTTTCAGAGGTTTTGCTTTTCCACGCTGAGGCCTCAGAAGGGTGAATAATCTGCCAGGCTCCCACAGCGGAAGACATGAAGCCGTGTTCCAAGCTCCCAGTAACCACCCCCGTGCACATCTTCTCTGCCTGTGCAGTTTGCTGAGGCCTCCTCTGAATCACTTGAGGTTCCAGTCAAGCAGAGGGTGCGAAATAAAGGGGGCGCCAGGGCTCAAAGAGCTTCAGATCTTCCACCCAAAGTTGGAGCGTTTCTGTGCGTCACTACTGATGCCCGGTTGGGCTCTGATGAAGGATTACCTCGCTTGCTTTCTCCAAACCTCGGGTTGCTGCCTAAATGAGTTTCACAACATCCCCTAAATAGGAAACCTACTTGAAGCTGCGCATGAAGACACATGCCTTCAATCCCCACACTCAGGAGGCTGAAGCAGGAGGATTGCTGTACGTTTGAGTACAGCCTGGGCTCCATGGTGAGTTCAGAGCCAGCCTGAATGGCATTGAGACCCTGTCTCAGAAATAAAGAAAAGGAAAGAAAGAAATTACTTGAGTCTTAAATGTCTCCTCGATATCAGCACTCAGCGTGCTCCACTTGTCTGCTTCCTGAAGAGATTCGGCAGCAAGCTGCATCCTGGACTTGACTTGGTCGATTTCTACCAATACCTGAAAGAGAAATGAGAAGCAAAAATGAAGGGGCCACTGCCTTTCTCTATGCTCCCCCAGTGACTCGAATTGTGAGCGTCGTGGCTGGCCCTGTCACCATGGAGCTGCTACATCGCCCAGCTAACACTGCTCAGCAGGTGCCGAGCAAACGACTACATGGAAGGAACAAAGCAAAAGGAGTTTTTGATTGCTGGGTGGAATTCTGTGTCCAAACTAGACACAATGGGACACACCTGTAATTGCAGCTATTTGAGAGGCTGAGGCAGGAGAGTCACAAATTGGGGCTTTTTTGTTTTTGTTTTCACAGTACTAGGGATTAAACCCAGGGCCTTTGCACTCAGCTACCTCTCCAGTCCTTTTTAAATTTTTTGTTTTGAGACAGGGACTCAAAAAACTGCTCAGGTTGATCCTTCTGGCCGCAGCCTCCCACAGTACTGGGATTAGAGTCATGTGTTGCCACACCCAGCCATGTTTGAGCCCAGCATTGCAAAAAAAGTCTGAGTTCAGGCCAGCCTCCCACAATGCTGCCCCCTTCTCAGCCCTTTGGGAAAGAAAATCCTGGCCAAAAACAAAAACCAGCATTTAGGAGAGGAGCCCACATACCTGCATTGACTGCGATGTGTCCTGTTCAAATTTTTTAATGTCCTCCTTGACGAGAATCATTTGTTCTTTCAGAAAAGACGCCTCCTGTTTCAGGGCTTCCACATCACGGAGCACTTTGGGCATGTTCTGAAGGGCCTGGTGGCTCATTTCTGCAGAACAAAAACCAAGAGCAGTCGTGTGCACAAAAGGCAAAAACCAGACCAGTCACCAGTGAGAAGTAGCAGACAAGAGACAGTAGAGAGGAGACATCCTAAGATTTCTCCAACCACATGGTGTTTGGCGCCTGCAGGAAAACGGCAGGGAGGAGAACAGAGACCGGGACTCTTGCCTGGGTTCAAATCCACGATCCCTCATTCACTAGCACAGTGATGTGGGCAAACTGCTTTTCTTCGTCTGTTTCTACAACCGTAAAGTGGGAATCACAACTCACACAATTATTGTCAGGTTTACACAGATGATCACACCAAAATTACCGATTGGCCAGGGTTATACTCCATTGTGACAAACTGGCCCAAGCTCTGCAGGGTACTAAAGGGCCCTTCTCCTAAGTGCCCATGGCAGTGACATTTCCCACAATTCCAAAGGCTCCCACCCATCAAATATTTATCCCCAAAGGAAGAACAGTTCTCAGGTCATTTTGTTAATACATATAAATATATCAAGCCCTCCAATATCTGTTATTATATTCTTAATTTTCTCTGTGTGTGTGTGTTTGTGACATGAAGTTCTCCTTCAAGGCCTAACCCAGGGGAAGCCTCTGTGATTCTCCCAGGCCTGAGGAAGCTGCACCCTCCTCCAGCTCAGGGCTCCAGATTCCATTTTCTGTAAAGCCATCTTGCACTGTAATCTGTTTACATATCTTCCTCACAGCCAGCTTTGTCCCCAGTATCCACATCCTGATACAAGCATAGGAGAGGCTCCATAAATTAGCAAAATTGCAAAGTACAACAAAGGATCTGCACTGAGATAACTACCCTGCTTTTCTCCTTCTTAAACAATGGGCATATCTATAAAACAAAGTTCTATTTACAGGATTACTGGCTTCCAGTGGGAGTGTCTGTTTGGTCTCCAACAGAGCCTAGCAGAAAGGCTGGCATGCAGTATTTACTGAGTCAACATATAGGGAATAAAAGGCAAGCCAAGGAATGACACGAGTCAGGTGTGGGGGCACATGCCTGTAATCCCAGCACTTAGGAGGCTGAGGCGGGAAGATTTCAAGTTTGATCCCAGCCAGGGTACCTTAGCGACGTAGCAAGAGACTCCACCTCAAAAAAAAATTTTTTTTAAAGAGCTGGGGATATAGCTCAGTGTGAAGGCTCTGGGTTCAACCTCCAGTATGGGGGCGGGGTTCTTGCTGGGCTTGGCGGTGCACACCTGTAATTCCTACATTTGCAAGGCTGAGGCAGGGGATCGCAGAGTTCGAGGTCTGTGTGGGCTACACAGTGAATTCAAAGTCACCTTGTTACATAGTGAGACTTTGCCTCAAAACAAAACAAAACAAAAATGCTTCTTTTAACTTCAGTTTTAAAAGGAAACCTTATGGCACTGCCAGGAAGGGAAAACTGAAGTCCAAAATTAGCAAGTATTAGACAGCCAGCAACCGGCTGAGACCGTCCTGCTCGATGCAGTCGGAAAGACTGCAGGCTCGCCTTCTCAGCAAACCTCCTGCTCACACCGGCAGCCCCATCCTGCGCCCGCGTCCCGGACCCAGCTGGGGACCTCTGTGGGCGGGCGCAGGGCAGGGTCCGGCGG